TGTAACTCTTCGGATACACAATCACAATATAGAAGGCATATTCAGCTATCTTCTTGGACTTTGGGTTAAGTATTTGCTGCTTTGGCTTTGTAGTAGTAAAAGTTTGAAGGATGCTTCTGCTGAGTTGAGCTGTAGGGTCTACAAGTATGGTCACAGAATCCAAGGAGAAAGTAACCTGTGTTACATGGTCCATGTTAGGCACGACAAGAGGGCAGAGAGAAGTGTGCAGAAATACATAAATAGAAAAGGGGAAGAAGGTTGATGGGATTAGGGTGGATCACAGTCTTTTCGTGGGCAGCCACAGTTTGTTGGAGTGGGTTACTGTCAGTATGGCAGGGTGAATCACTGATGGTCTACAGATGGTTGTCGTATTGGTGAGGGGGAAGAGGGGCTTGGTAGGAGGTGGCTTGGGAGGCGGTCTACAAGTGGGTGAGCTTGTTTGCGAATGGGCTACTTTCAGTCCCTGCTGTAGGCAGTCCATGTTTGGGAACTTGTCTAGTCATACAGTGCTGCAGAGGAAATAGTGACAGTCAGAGGAGGGAATTTGTTGTGATGAGAGACTTGGTAGGTCAGGGTTGGGGTGCATGGGGAGGATCAAACAAAGTGAAGCTACAGCTGGCCTCGATCAGGAGATGGCGCAAGTTCATGAGGGACAATGGAACTTGGATGGTGATAGACTCCAAGGGCAAAAATGGGAATCAAACATCACATGGACGGGATTGGCAGGACACAGGCAGTTACATTTATGCAGAGTGTGGAAGCAACTGGGGCAGCAAACTGGTGAGGAAAGGAGGAAATAAGAGGCATTTGGCGTGTGACAAGGGATGGCTGGACCTCATAACTTTACAGGCAAACAGTGAATTCTCTTTTGATTTTGAAGAGGCTACACCCAAAGTGGGAGGAGTATGTTTTTCTGAGTTGTAGCTTTGATTTTCAAGCTGATTGAAGGGTACCTCATTAATCATGGGTCCAGTGGATGGAGAATCACGAGAAAATCAATTTCCACATAACCAGCTAATCAAGTCAACTCATATCACACTCCAACAAAATCTCATGGAGTCACGGAGCCACAGTACATTATGACCTGACTGCCATCTCATGATGTCTCAGGTACACACAAAGAAACAAAGCTTTTGGAATGCATTCAATTCATCCCTCAGACTTAGCTGGAGCATAAATGACTTGCAGGAGTCAAATAGGAAGATGACCATATGCATTAAATTACTGCCTTTACAGACCTCCTGACAGCATGATGATACAGATCAAGCCTAACATTCTTCTGATCAACTTGCAAGTGGAATTGGAGGTGAAGATTGTTACAACCAGCTGTGGGCCAGCTTGCAGAAGCATGACAACTGAGGCAATGTCTCACCTCCAGGCCTTGGAGCAATGGTCTGCAACTGACAGACAAACAATGCTGAAGATTCCTCAGGATGTCCCAGGTAGTTATATCTTACATCATTCTAGAGAGCCACTAAAGACCTCTACAGAAGATTGCAAGCATCCATGCAAATGAAACTGGGGGGAGACTGATGCTCTGTTTGCTAAAATACACCAAACTATTCACTTTCCCTTGGATTCTGGGAGCCAGGCAGATAAACAGCCAGGGCAGTGAGCTTCCTTACCACAGTGTGCTTCCCATTGCAGTTTACTGCATCCACATAGCATTCAGAGCACTCTATCATCAACCAGCAACGTCTGTCAACAGGAAAGAGCTCCACTTCCTGAATGTTCACATCATTTGTGACCACACCAGCCAAATACTGCAGCTCTGGGTAGTTCTTTATTCATTCAGGGATGGGTGTGTTGTTTTTAGGCAGCATTTACTGCCCATCCCTAATTGCCCAGAGGGCAGTTGAGAGTCAATCACATTGCTGTAGGTCTGGAACTACATGTAGGCGAGACCAGATAAGGATAGCAGTATCCTTCCCCGCAAGACATTAGTGAACCAGATGGAGTTATAACTTCTTCAAGGTTGAACCAGATGGGTTTTTTCCTGATTCTTAATTCCAGATACTTATTGAATTCAAATTGCACCATCTGCCGTGGCGGGATTCGAATCCAGAATGTTATCTTGGTCTTTGGATTAACAGTCCAGCGATAATACCACCAGGTCTCTGCCTCCCCAGTGTATATCAAAAGGAGCTGTCACAACTCCTACATTCTGGAGTAGGAAGCCTGCATCTTTCAATCCACTTTATTGCATAGTCAGGCTAGCTGCTCAGGGACAAGGGTGATCTTCCCCCAAAACTAGGCTGGTAACATCTCTCAAAAAAGCCACAAACCGACACTGTCTTGAGCTCTGATTCTGCATTTGCCTGCCATGACTGAGCAGACTGCACGCCTGCTGAAAATGAAGATCCGACATATAGAATGTTCAGGCAGGCTGATGCAATTTATTCCAGGCAGGGTGTCCTTCATCATCACTGTTAGCTATGCCACCCGCAAGCTCACTTGACAAAAGGGGATTTTCTTAGGGGAGGAAGTGTCATAGAGGTACACTGCACAGAAAAAGGCCCTTCAGCCCATCAAGTCTGCACTAATCAAAAACAAGAACCTAACTATTCTAACCCTTTTTACCAGCATTGACCCATAGCTTTGATTGACTTGGCATCACAAGTGCACATCTAAATACTTCTTAAATGAAATGACACTTTCTACCTCTACCACACTTACAGGCAGTAAGGTCCAGATTTCCACCACCTTCTGCGTGAAAATAAACTTTTCCTCACATCCCCTCTAAACCTTCTGCCTCTTACCTGAAATCCATGCCCCCAATTATTGATCCCTCCCCCAAGGGGAAAAGTTTTTTTCCTGTCTGCCCTATCTATGCCCCTTATAATTTTTTACATCTCTAAAATCTCCCCCCTCAGTCTCTGACGGAGGAATGTGAAGGTGAGCCTTCACAAGATAGGGCTCACAAATAGGAAGATGGTGGGGCTATACGCTGACAAAGCAGAAATGGCAGTTACAAGCGAATATTCAAACCACATGAGCTGCATGATTCTTTTGATGTTATGTCCTTTGTACACCAGCTGGCTGAGAGGCCAGTAGTTTCTCAATGCAACACATCACAATAACTGAGGATTTCATTTTGCACTATTGCTTGCAATGAAGACTATGTTTGTAATTGTAATGTGCTGGTAATGTGACCACTTGGAAGCAAACTGCTTACACAAGCCTGGCCTTTGCGGTAACTGTACACAGCTATAGCTGTAACATAGCGTGCGCTCCTGTGAACAATGACCCTTCGTGGGCCTTTTTCAAGCAAAGTGGAGGAAGAATAGGGAACTCGCTGGAGAACACTCCTCAGTTCTCTCGCCTCCCAACCCAATGTCAGCAGTTATCTTAATCCCTCACTACTTCTACAGTCCTGCAAAACATTAGAATCCTTGAGTGTATCATTGCAATGGCTAAGCATCCTCAGTTACTGTGCTTCTACCACTACTGGCTGCAAAAATGCAAACAGTTCTGTTCTATCCCTCTGAAGAATGTTGAGATTCAATGCAGAGTTGGGCACTGCCTTACTCATATACCAAGACTGTTTGGTTTGGCAATAGACACTCCAGACAGGGGAAAGGTATTTCCTTCCTACATCCTTCACAGTCCAACCACATTTCTGCATTGCTTCCATAAAGTTGCTACTGTCAAGTCCGCAGTGTGGCTATCCCACTATTCTTCCTTTGACTTCACTGGACAAAGTTAATGTTTTGATTGCATTCCTCAATTGTTAGGTCTATGTTTCGCTGGGTTATGACAGCAACATTAGGCACAAACATTGATGATGATATGAGACAACCAAAGCTGTCCTGATGGAAGAGTAGCATCTCCTTGTAATGGGGGAAGATGCTCAACTGCTTCGACTTCAGACAACATGTTAGCACCCAATGTGGAAATGAGACTACAGTAGACATCCCAGAAGTTGCTCCCACTCATGGACCTCTTAGACCTGCACATTTGGAAAAAGTATTACAGGGAACACTGGTGGACAGGCTTTAGGGAGTCAGGTGGTGATTAATTGCTGCAAGATTCCTAGCCTCTGACCTGCTCTTTTAGATACTATTTATTTGGCTTGTCCAGTTCAGTTTCTGGTCAATGGTAACCCCAGGATGTTTATTCACATATTCAGGATGTACCCATTGATGGCAATGCCGTTGAATCTCAAGGGGGCAACAGTCAGATTCTCTTGTTAGAGATGGACATTGCCTGGCACTTGTGTGGTGCAAATGTTACTTGCCGCTTGTCAGTAAAAACCCCAATATTGTTCAGGTCTTGCTGCATTTCAACATGGTCTGCTTCAGAGGATAGAGAATGTTGCTAAACATTATGCAGTCATCAGCAAAAATCCACATTTTTAACCTTATACAGTGGATGGGAGGTCATTGATGAAGCAGCTAAAGATGGATGGTCTAGGACACTAACATGTAATGTTGTCCTGGAGCAGAGATGGCTGACCTCCAACTGCAACAACCATCTTCCTATGTGCCAGGTATGATTCCAACCAGTGGAGAGTTTTCAGCCTGATTCCCATTGATTTGAGTTTTGACAGGGATCCTTGATGCCACACTCAGTCAATGGCAGTCTTGCTGTCAAGGTCAGTCACTTTTACCTCACCTCTGGATCTTACCTCTTCTGTCCATATTTGAACCAATGTATTGGATGGTGAGTGCTTTTTTTAAAAATCACTGAGACATGCAAAATATTTTCTGCGTGGAATCAGAGTATTGTCTGAGTGACTATGGAGAGTATGTTTGAGGGGGTGGGACATTGAGTGATCCAAGGGCCTATGGAGGATACATAAAGCATCATGGGTTGGCTGAAGTGCAGACAGGATATTACTTTCTGCAGCTCTATCACAGAGTCAAGGCCGTAAACTGAACTGTGACTGTTTACAAATCTTAAGTGAGAATAATTACTTTGCTCCAATCCACTGATGGATGCATAGAACTGATTAGGTCATTTTAATATTTAATAGTTTAGACAAATGTCTAATTAATTACCTGTTGCGTAATAGTATCCCAAGGTCCTTGAAAAAGTCGCTCTTTGTAACATTCATGCACATTCTCCCAAATTTCTTCCAATGTAAGTGGTTTTCCATCTAGGATTTTAAAAATGCAACTTTTAAAAATCATTTCTATTGAAAAGTGAAGAACAACATTAGGACAATGCCATATAAATTGCATTCTGTGAGATCCCCTTCTAAACCCTTACTTTTCACAGATGTCGCAGACAACTACAAAAGCACCAGTGCAAAAGAAGACCTGCAGCTGTTGTAAAGTTGAAATAAAAGCTGAAAATGCTAGAAATAATCAACAAGACAGGTAGCATTGATGAAAATAAAACCACGCTTAATGTTTTAGGTCTTTGACCTTTCATCAAAACTGCAAAAGAGTTGTCACTGATAGAAAACAGGCCTATTGAAACTTCTTTGTGATTTAACAGGATTTAATTTCAGCATTTAGATTACACACACTAGCTTTTTTGGTTTCTTTCTTATGCCCGCATTATTATCATATATAGTCCTCAAAGAAACAGTAAGAACAGAGAATTAACAGGAGAAATTGGAGTGTTGGGAAATCATTAATAAATTAAGAGAATTGCTTAGAATTTACAGAAATAGGCTGTGAAGAAAGATCATGATATAATCATTACTATAATAATTCAGAGACCAGGGTTCGATAGAGAGAACAATGTATTAAATTTGATGTGTCTCTATAATGCAGGTGTTAAGTAGGGGTGACTTTGGATGGATTCTCCCCAGCCCCTACATGACGTGGGTTATGAGGAGAAATTTGGGAAAATTGAGCAGAATGTCCAGAAAGGCCCTTCTTGATATTGAGACCAAAAAGTCACATTTTCCAACCAAGTCTTGGAAGTTGGGACGAGATTTTCACTACTGAATGGCAAGAGGCTTATCAGCATGAAATATTACTCACCGATACCCTCATGATACTTGATCTTACCTCATTAATATGCAGTCACCCACTCTCTCACCCACCGGACAGAAACTAGACAGTGAGAATTCCTAACATGAAAGTCAGAGTGGGTATCTGGGAATTCCAGGTTGCTGTTTATACCCACAGGTCCCCATTCTGGGGTCATTGCACCAGCATCTCGGGTCTCGGGCCACGTTCCAATGGGAGCAACTGCATGCATCCCATGTCCATGAACATTGGCATCTGCCACATACCAGGCTCACTGCGCCATTATGGCACATCTCTGATCCACTTACAATATGGTTCTGCACTTCAGTGTTGGGCTTTGGAGGGCACCAGCACCTTTTAATAGAATGCTGCTACAAGGATACTTTGTCCACAGGGACAGGCAGCCACCTCATGGATTGGGCTAGGATACATCTCAGGGTAGCTCACTCACAGCATACTCACTCTGTGACAACTGAATGCTCACAGCATCCTTCCTTGCCTTCTTTGGGCTCTGGCCCATCAGCCAGACCTTAAAAGGCTTGCAGTACTTCTGTTTAACACAAACAGAAAGCCAGGGAGATTATCATGTTTGTCAGCAGTCATCAGTCATAGGAATAAACATGTTGCTGTATGGTACTACATTACGTCAATCTTACACATAGGAACAGGTCTAAGTCATTCAATATGATCATGGCTGATCAAGCAGTGCCTTTGCCCACACCTTTCCCATAATGCTCTGACCACTAGTTATCAGAAATCTATCAATCTCTGTCTTAAACATACTCAAAGACTAAGCTTCCACAGTCCTCTAGCACAGGGAATTCCAAAGGTTTACAACCCTTTGAGTACAAAACTTTCTTCGCATTTCAGACTCAAGTGGCATCCCTCTATAGCAATAGTATCTTTCCTGAGATAAGGAGACCAAAACTGCACACAGTATGACAGTACTCTAACTAAGCCCCTATACAACTGAAGCAAGACTTCACTATTCCTGTACTTAAATCCTCTTGCAATAAAGGCTTACATTCCATTAGTCTTCCTAATAGCTTGCAGAACCTGCCTATTAGCCTTCAGTGACTTACCTACAAGGTCTCTGTGGTCCCTTTGAACATCGACAGTTTCCAACCTCCTGCCACTTAGAAAATACTCTGCACATCTGTTTCTCCTACACATTGGAATATCCTTCCACAATATATTCTATCTGACATGTTTTACCCACTCCCTAGCCCTGTCCAAACCCTCCTGAAGCAGCTTGACATCTTCCTCAAAGCACATATTCGCACTTAGTTTTGTATCATCTTTGTATCAGATTTCAAAATTTTACATTTGGTTGCCACATCTGACTCATTGATATGTATTGTGAACAGCTGGGGCCCAAGTACTGATTATACAGTCATAGAGTTAGAATCATACAGCACGGAAACAGACCCTTTGGTCTAACCAATCCACGCCGACCATTACTCCAAACTAAACTAGTCCCACCTGCCTGTGCTTGGCCCATATCCCTCCAAACATTTCGTATTCATGTACTTATCCAAATGTCTTTTAAATGTTGGAAGTGTTCCAGCAGCCACCACTTCCTCTGGAAGTTCATTCCACACATGAACAACTCTCTGGGTAAAAAAAAATTGCCCCTCATGTTTTTTTAAAATCTTTCTCCTCTCACCTTAAAAATATGCCCTGTCGACTTGAAGTCCCCAAGCCTTGGGAAAAGACACCTGCCATTCACCTTATCGATACCCCTCATGATTTTATAAACCTCTATAAGGTCAGCGGCAACCACCTATGCTCCAGTGAAAAAAGTCCCAGCCTATCCATCCTCTCCTTATAACTCAAACCCTCCATTCCTGGCAACATTCTGGTAAATCTCTTCTGAACCCTCTCCAATTTAATAATATCCTTCTTATAGCAGGGCAACCAGAACTGGTCACAGTACTGCAGAAGAGGCTTCACCAACATCCTGTACAACCTCAACATAATGACCCACTCCTATACTCAAAGGTCTGAGCAATGAAGGCAAGCATGCTAATTGCCATCTTAACCACCATGTCTATATGTTATACTAACTTCAAAGAATTGTGCACTTGAACCCGTAGGTCTCTCTGTTCTACAACACTGCCCAAAGCCCTATATTTAATTGTATAAATCTTGTCCTTGTTTGTTTTACCAAAATGCAATACCTTGCATTTATCCAAATCAAACTCCATCTGCCACTCTTCACTCGTCAGATTCTTGCAATACCCCACTAGTCACGGTCTACCAATGTGAGAATGGCCCTATTATTCCTACTGTCTATTTTCCCGCCATTAGAAAATCATTAATTCATGCCAGTGCATTACTCCTATCCTATGTGCTTTAATGTTTCTAACCAACTTCCTGTGGGGGATCTTATCAAAAGCTTCTGAAAATCAGAATAAACTAAGCTCAATGGCTCTCCTTAACAAAGTTTTTTAGGAACATCCTCAAACAGTTTGTCAAACACAACTTTCCATTCACAAATCCATGCTGATGATGCCCAATTCAATCATTATTACCAAATTGTCTATTTTCTCAATGTGCGAGCAATTTGTTTCTGTTCTGAGAGGCAAATGCAGCTTCTTATTGTTTGATTTCTGATCGCTTTTGGTTTCCTGAATAAAAGTGAACATTTTGAAACGATTGAAGACTTCCCTGCATGTGATGCTCCCACATTAACCACAACAAGATGCTGGGCTACAGTGGGCATTGGGGAAAGAGTAGCAATTACTTAGAGATACAAGATAGGATGTGGCTGAGGTCAGATACGCTGTACAGTCAGGTCCTTAAACAGCAAATGGTGTCATAATATATGGTTGTATGTGCAATGAAGTATCAGCTATGCTACCTATTTCCTACAAGAAGCATTGATTTGTGCCTCTGTGTCACTAACACTGATGGTGAAGGGCAACTCTGAACTGCTGCACTTAACCAGAGGCATGGGTGGGGGTATCAAAGATGGCACCAGTACCAGGGATAAAGGGATAAATCCTTTATATCCTGGTGATAGAAAGTACCTCTGCTTACGGCAAGTGGGAGAATTGGGATAGCAGGGTGCCACAGAGGTGAGTGGTATCTGGTTAATGAGGTAAGTTTCAGACTTTGTGTGGGGAGAACTCACTAGGCCGCATGGACAGAAACTCTTCATGAAACATAATGAAAATGACACTTTGTTGATATGTGGTACAATTTAGCCTATAGTTTTTGTGTAACTTAAGAGTTAAGCCATCAACACCAGGGCTGTCTGGAATTTTGTTTGCATTTAAATAAGGCTTTAAGAAAAAAACCTGCAGGTGAACAGTTCCATGCTTCAGAAAATAAGGGTAGAAGAGAGAAGCAAGGGCTGTTGCCTAGCAACAAGGTGTCCTACAACATAATGATACAGAGACAGAAACAAGCTTCCATTTAGAAAGACAGAGCCACCCAGAACCATCCAGTTAGACAGAGTTCAGGTTTCTGACAGAGAGAAAACAAGCCTTTGGCAGCAAGGGTGCTATTAGAATAGCAATCTCCAAAACAATCAGGGCAGAAGAGAATAAGTCCTGAGTGACTTACTAGTAAGAGAAAACTCCTGAAGAAGGAGGCTGTAAAGTGTCAGAGAGGAAGACATCTTTTAAGGCTGTTGAATGCATGCATTTAAGGAGCACATGTTAAGGAGGAAATGTACTGTAGTAGCTGTTTGATAAGAGTCTCTGGAACAGAAATTAGCTAACAAAGGTAGCATCACATGAAATGCAGAACTTCACTGAGAAGAAGTCAAGGACAACTGTGCCCACTGAAACACTTTTGAATTAGAAACAGGATGACCCTGAGGTTAGAGTACCTGTACCATTATTGTTGAGGGTAATAGGGTTGAATATTTATTTCTGATATTTGTAATAAGACAATTTCAAATACCTCTAACTGTAAATAGTTTCTTTGTTTCTCTTTTGTGTAATAAGTATTTGATGTTCTTTTGTTAAAAGTACATTAGGATCGTTTTGTAAATATGTTCAGATTGCAAGGATGACCAACCACCATGGAAAACAGATAGCAAAAATAAAACTTCCACCAGGTTTCACTCTGGGCTCTGGCCTGTCCAGTATTACCATCCACTTGGATCATTACAAGGTCATTTGGCACAACATGGCTTTACTGGTACTTATCCTTCACATGAGTCTCCTCTCACCTTACCTCATCCCATCATAATCTTCCATTCTTTTTGCAGCAACTTTATTAGTTCAGCGGTCTTGGCGCCATATTGGTGGGGCAGTGTATGGGGTTTGGGGAAAGTGAAGGAAAGTTATTCAAAGGGGAAATAACAGAAAGTGGAGCCAAAGAACAAGGCAAGCCAAGAGAATTTGATGTTGGGGAAGGGAAGGATTTTTTAAAGCCAGAGAACAGGAATGAATAGGATCAGAAAAGCTTAGGTCCTAGGTGTCAGCCATGTTATTTACAAAATGGGCAAGGGGAACATAAGTTAAAGCATTAGACAGCTAAACATTACATTGTCAGAACCTTAAATTTCCCTGATGTTGAGTTTAACATACCTGAATAACAAGCTCTGAAATACAGTACAGGTGCCTGGTAACTACTGGAGTACAAAACATGGTACTCGTATCGAATTAGTTCAGATGTTGTGACCTGGGCTTCCTCAATGTCACTGTTAACATTCTTCATATCAACCTAAATAAAGATAAAACATTTCATAACTTCATACTCAGCCATTATAACTGAAACTCATAGTTTACAAAGTTATCTGATAAAATGTCTCCAAACACAACATTTTGCAATATTTATTTATAAGTTTTAAAGATTACATGAAAGACTTCACATTCTGTCCAGGAGCTCCACTTAAGGCCATTAAGTAGCTTCTTATAAATAATTGATATCCAATTGTCATCGATAATTATGACAAGGAATTCACGACCAAAATGTTCATCCTCAGCTTTTCTTTTGACATATTAATTACACATCTATTTTTTTTTACTTTGGAACATCACAATTGCTTTTATGATAACAATTATTTGTAATCATGGTCTTCGATAACCAAGAGAAGTCACTAAATTTGGTGAAACACACAAAATCTGTCAAGTCAAACACAAAGACCTAGAAAACCTAACCACACAAGCAAATACATTCCTTTTAAAAAGGTGTCATCACTCAACATAGTAAATTAGTTACACGGAATATATTTGGCATCCTGGAAGAGGAATCTTCTATGATAGGAAAACGCAACCAAAGTTAAGACCATTTGTATCGCTCAACTTACTTTTAAATGCACTGCCAAACAAATTAGCAGGTATGTAAAATGAAGCATAATGAATTGAGGCCTGAGGAAAATGTGAAAATAGTACCAAATATTCTCTCACTAAATATGAAAATCTTCAAAATTTCAAGCCATGTAACATTCATTCAAGCACATTAGACACAGCAGAAGATGCAAATGTGGAAACAGTTTCAGAATTCAATGTTAATATGATTTACACTGATGCAATAAAAATCTAAATAATGTTTATAAATACATAAGCATGTCTCAGTGAGGTCAATAAAAAGAACCCTTGACTCTAATCCATCAAACTGCTTGAACGACATCAGAGTCTCATTCTCCTCTCACTCCTGTATTTGGTGACTTACGCTGGCTCCAAGCTTGCAACACATCATTTTAAAAATTCTCATCCTTGTTTTTAAACCTCCCTAAAACCTTGCTCCCCCTATATCTGTAAAATCCCACAACACTGCAAGATGTCTGCATTGTTTCAGATCTGGTGTCTTGAACAGTCCTGTGTTAAATCGCTCTACCATTGGTAGTCGTGCCATCAGGTGCCAGAGCCTGAAACTCTGAAATTTCCTCATTAAACACCCCACATTTCGCTCCTTCTTTAAGATGCTCCTCTCAACTAGGTTTTTAGGCAACTGCCCTAACATTTCCTGATGTCATTTGTTATCAAATTTTATTTGATAATGTCCTGTCAAGTGACTTGGGATGTTTCACCACATTAAATGATCTGTATGCACTCAAGCTGTTGCTGCTGCCAAAAAAATCAGTTTAAAATAACGCAGAAAAATAGCATTTTTTCCATCCAGGACTGAAATTTCAAGATCATTTTTTACATCCAACTTGAACCAATGGAATTGCAGAATATTTGTTCATTCTGCTTGCTAGTCTGGGCTTGAACCATTACAAGGAGATGCATTCAGCTGCACAAATTAATAGATAGACATAAAAGAAAAACTGAGGAAATTTGAGTGTAGCATTAATACAGTTGCACCACATTTGTTTGATATTCACCCTGGTTACTTTATTTTCACTCTGATTACTCAAATCTACTCAAATCTCAGTTTTTTTTAATGCAAAGTTGATTTTGGATTTGACCATTTCATGTAGGTAACATGTCGACAGCTGCATAAATGACAATTATATAAATGTACACAGCTCAGGGTCTCAGTAATGACTTTTGATATTTAAACTAAATACTTAAATTAAAATCGAAAGACAAAGTTAGATTCATTGTAAGCAGAATCTTGGCATGTACATTTGTCTTTTATTGCACGTTCCCTTGTTACTGAATATTCTTACTGTAGCACAGCATCAGAAATATACCAACAGTCTGTGTACAATTATTATCAGCTCCTGCCCGAGCTCTGCAACTATCCAGCCGAAGATTGGGTTTACTTTCCTCACTGCTGCCGCACACTGTGGTATTGGTTTCAGTGAGCTATCCACAAATATTCCCAGATCCCTTTCCTCTATTGTGTCCTATAGCCTGTAGCAACAGAATAATTAAGTGGGATTCAAGCATGATCGCTAGTGTGGTGTAACTAACAGCAGACTTTCAAGCACTGTATGAAGTAATGTTAACAGCTGCCTGTCTGCAGTGGCAAAAGCCTGGAAACCATTAATAACTTGGCTGCTTCAAGTCAGTACAGTGATGTGACTGAATCAGAATACCAATTTATAAACTTAACCAAACATCAACTTCTATTTGTATTTGTGAAATACAGGGCAATTTCAATGTAACTTTCTGTAACCATTTCCCCACAGCTGCAGGGCCAAACCTGGCTAGCTGCAATGATTCCAACATTGTCCTTCCCTAGATGCCAGTACCTATAAATGGAACTGGAGGGGCCCTCGTGACAATAGGTTCAATACCATACCCAGTCACTACACACAGTCCAGGTCTTTGTGTGACATCCATGAGGAAATGGAAGCTCCAGACAAAAACAGAGCACATGTTTTGTTTTATACTATCCTCAGTATATATAGGCTCATGATAAATTTTGATCTTGTGAGCCCAATTTCAGGCTGCACTTGCTCTCATCCATGGGTACCACTGTGTCAATCATGACCCTGGCAGCTTTCTCTGGGTAACCATTCTTACCAGGCACTGGAGTGGAGGTCTTCTGTGGGTGAAGTCTGTAATTATGTCTAGTGTTGAGCAGTCCTAGTGGAACCTAAACCGACACTGACTGACAAGTTATTGGTGACTTGATTGTCTAGCTGGATCTTCTTTCACTTTGTCAATGGTTGAGAGTACTGATGGAGCCAAAGCTAAAGTGGATTCATGCTGCTTGGTGTATACCTGGGCAATTTTTCACACTGTTGTTCGAAAGGTGCTAATCCTGAAAACACACTTGAACAACTTGGCTACAGGCACGGCTAGTTCTCAACCATAGGTCTTCAGTACCATTATGGTTTTGCAGTTTGTCAAATGTAGTGTATAGGCTATGATTTCGGGGTGGAGTGACATAAATTGGCTCAAGGCTGGAAGCTGTGATGATGGGAACCTCAGGAGGAGGTCAAGAAGAACCAGTGGTTTGGCATTCTCACTGAATACATGAACAAACCTTTCAGCCTTGTGTTGCGCTTTTGTGCATTTGGCTGTGTCATCATCAGCTGCCTCCTCTTGTTAGTTACTTAACTATCCACTACTTTGTACTTTGGATGCATGAAACCTGTACAGCTTTGACCTGATCAGCTGGTTGGGGGGGGGGGGGGGGGGGGGTGTGGGGGTTTGCTCATTTTTGTCTGTAGCACACGTTTCCATTGCTTAACATGCATATAGTCCTGTGTTGTACCTTCACTAGATAGTCATCTGATTTTCAGGGAGGCCATTTGGCTTGATGGAGGAATGTAAAATTTCAGATTATATTTGGTGACATGTCATTTTGTTCTGCTGCTCCTGAGTCTCATGTGCAAATATGGATTTTTGATCTCCACAAGAAATGCACTTACTGACACTGTTATGAACCATAGCTTCCACAGAAGGCCAATTGCTGAGAATGTTGTCCTATATGTTATTCTCGTTTTGTTCCTCTTCGCAACTGCTGCAAGCCCAGGCTGCTGCTTATTGGTCTACTCAGCCAGCTTCGTCACTGGTGGTACTGCTAAAGCATACCTGCTGATTGAAAGTCAATTATATTCTGTGCCCACACTACCATCAGTGCTTCTTCCAAATAGAGCTCAACATAGGGGAGTGTGATTTCACCCAGTGAAGGAGGACAGAAAGAAGGAAACCGTATGTTCTTACCTCGTTGGGTCTACATGTAACTCCAGCCAAACACCAATATTGTTGACACTTATCTACACCACATTCAGCGGTACTGAATAACTGCAAAGAATATTGGGATAAATAAAATTGAGTGCAGCGTCAGTTGTGATACAAACTGTGAATGGTGAAGACATACATACCCTGTCAATTCTGCATGTTCCTCCTCACTAAGCTAAAGACTGGTACTAAAGGTAACGTGAATATCCCCAGAGACTAGCTAAGCAACAAACTTATTATGTTTTGTTGAGTATGACTACCAGCAATATTCCAAATGCCCCTTTGATGAGGCCTTGCTACGTTCTACTCAGACACATCCTCCTGAGGTGAGGTCACAGTGATCTGCAATGATTGGGGAGGTGTCCTAAACATTTACTTTGGAACCAGTTTAGGTCAAACATGGGCAAGATAACCAGGGCGAGAGGTTGGGTGGGAGAAGAGTGAATTCAGGTAATAGTTGGTTCTGGTTTGGACTGGGTAATTGGGTGTGGTAGTGTGTAATTGATCAGACAGCCGAGTGGTCAGGGAATGGATGTTTAAGGTAGCAAGGATGATGACTGGGGACATTGGGGTGATTTTTTTGTTTGTGGGGTGAGTGGTTATTGTGATGTTCAGTTGAGTTAGGCTACCTGACCACCAAGTTATATCAGTTATTACGTTTGTAACATTTGCATGGTAAGCACATAAGCACCACTAACACCCCCACCGCCCCGCCCACCCGGCAAGTTTCTGCCCAATCTCTGCCTGGAGGTCAGGGTCAAGATATTCATGGATGGTCTTAGACAGCAGGAATTGGAATTTCACATTTCCTGGGCAATTTTCATTTATGTCTGTGCAGGATCCTGATGTAAATTTCCCAATTTATGCCCCATCTCTTACAATTCAGTAATGAGAGAATGTGAATCTTTGTTACTGACAGAAATCAAAGCACCTTCCATAAAATATCAAACTTGGTATACACACATTAACTTGGTGTATTTACAAAGTAGTGGGTAGTAAACATCTAAATTTGTTTGCATCTTGCTTTATGCTTGTAGAATTTATAGTACATTAACAAAACCCAAAATAAATTGCAATGCAAATTCATGACCCTCCGTGACTGAGTATTAATATCATCCCACTTACTGTGAATATTTA